GGTCAGATAAGATCACCGTGGGGAGGAAGTTTAGGGCAGGGAGGAGCAGCAGGTAGGACTCCTGCCTTTATAAGCATTCAGGGGGGAGCCAGACTGTGGGTTTTATGGCCAGACTTATGTGAGCTCTGGAGTGAGAGCCTCTTCACAGTTAAACCAACGGACCACGGGCAAACATGTATGAGAAGGATTAGAAAGCATCTCCATGAAGCAATCATTTGTTTAGGCAAGTAGAGAATTGAGGCCTTTAGCATTGCTCAGAATACTAGTCCAGGGGACTGGGAGTCACCTCACCAGGGGCTCTTACACGAACTCGAGGTTTTTGGAGCATCCCCATATTTAGTGAACTGGCTTCCTAGCTGTTCTCAGAGGTGATGCTGAGACCACTGTCTGGGATGAGAGGGAGGCAAATGGCAGGGCTCTGGGCCTGGTGTCCCTGTGCCCAGACTTCACTTTTATGTGACTTATGTATGGGGACAGTTTTTAAAAGAGGTACACCTTTTACAAAACAAACAGTTACTGAAGTCTTCCTGTCTTTTAATACAAACTTCTGTAGCATTCAAATCTGAGATTTTAAAAATTGTCTGAAATTACTGTTGTAACCATTAGTTATCACAGCCATCGTGACTGTAAGAGAATCAGTTGTCACCGCAGAGCATGTCTTCCAGTGGTTAAAAATATTACCTGATATCCACCTGTATTACTCTAGGTGGAATTTCTAATTGTTTTCTTTGGGACACCTGGGAGCTTGACTTTCTTTCAAGATTTGATTGTGAAAACCATTATTTTTCAGTTCCTAGGTTACTGCTTCATTGTGCACTTTGCCTGGTAGGACCGGGAATAGATCAATTTTGGTAGAAGTGCTCACTGAGCCAAAATGGAAATTGGAAACTGCCCCTAAACCTCTGAAAATGAAAAGTCCTCAAGAGAAAAACATATCAGACCCAACCACTACTTAGGCAGGGCCTATGATAGATGCAAATCACAGACTTCCTTTCTCTCCTGCCACAAATGTCAGAAACGCTTGGCATCTGAGCACAAATGCGTTTCCCGCCCCTTTCTGAACAGCTCAACTTGGAAAGGTCAGCTTTTCCCTTTGGGGTAAAAAAAAAAAAAAAAAAAATCTTTTCTTATAAATTGGAATGTTTGCACACACAACAGTAGGAAATGTTTAACATTTACTTTGATGGGACAGCAATTTGTTCAACAGGGTGGAATCGATCTTCTCTTTTCATGTTCCTCTTTGTACATCACAGGCACACAAATTACCGAATGCAGCCGTGAGTGCTTCTAGATCAGATCATCCTGTCCGCAAAACCAGCCAACGCCTTGGGCTTCCGAAAGGCAAGCTCTGTTCCATCTTTTTTTTTTTTTTTTTTTTTTAATGCCAAGGGACTCATTTGTGAGAGACTGTTCTGAATAAAAGCAGTAATTTTCCACAGACTATACATACTGGAACCCTGAAGGAGTTGGAGGAAGGGCAGGAAGGCAGGGGGTGAGGTTTTCACCTCTGTCTGAAAAACAGAACAACTGGTCCAGGATCTTGTTTGAATCTCTTTGGTTTACTGAAAGAGGGATCCAGAACAATGACAAAGCAAATCACTGTTTGTGATCAGCTGCCTCCAATTTGATAATCAACATAAATGCTTGTGGTTCATGAAGAATTCTTCTTCACCAGAGCCTATCTTTTGATCCATTTTGAAATGATGGTGAACAGCTCTGAGTTTGTGTGTTATATTTGTTTTTGTAGCAACAGTGGATACCGAAAACCAGCTTATGATTTTTCTAAAGGTAAAAATGCTTTAATTTAGCAACGACCAAAAATAAACACAAAGAGGGACCATAAGGAAGATAACAGTGTCTAGGTATTGATCTAGGCTGGGGCTGGACTACAGGAAGGGACCTGAGTCCGCATGGCTTATTACTTTGGGACACTTCCGATTATTCACCTCCAGAAATAGTTTCCCTTCCATTTTATTTTTTTTTTTTATTTTTATTTTATGATAGTCACAGAGAGAGAGAGAGAGAGGCAGAGACACAGGCAGAGGGAGAAGCAGGCTCCATGCACCGGGAGCCCGATATGGGATTCGATCCCGGGTCTCCAGGATCGCGCCCTGGGCCAAAGGCAGGCGCCAAACCGCTGCGCCACCCAGGGATCCCTCCCTTCCATTTTAGACAAATTCCTCTACAGTGTGCAAAGGGGCCATGTATGTCCCGAGGCATGTGTGTTCTCTAGTAGAAGAAACACCCTGTCAGAGACAAACTACCCCTCTCCACATCCTCATGCCAGGCATCCTATCCCTTCTCATCTCCTCAGGGGCTTCTTTCCTTCAGTTAATCCTTCCACTCCTGGGTTAACAATTTCTTTTCCACCGCTCAACTACAAAAGCATACAAACACGTTCTAGCTCCTCTCGATATTGAAAAATAAAACAGTTGTAACTCATATTCCCTTTCATTATCACCTACTTCCCTGCTCCCTTTCACAGTTAAACTTATATTTTAAAAAAATAACAAACAGCAGTACACACTGATTTCTACTCATTCTCCTCCATTCACTCTCCAACCCACTTCAATCTGGCTTCCATCTGGACTTCACAGAAAAGGCTTTTGACAGTTGCTAAGACTTTGTTTGTCAAAGTCAATGGGCATGTATCTGTTCTTGTGTTACTCAGCTTCTTGGCTGGGTTTCCACACAGTTGACCACGCCACTCTGGAATCACTGTCCTCTGTTTTCACAACCCAACCTTCACCTGGTTCTTCTACCTTTGGGCTACCTCTTCTCAGGTTCCTTTGTTGGTTCTCTGTCCTGGATTTCTTTCTTTTTTTTTTTTAAGATTTTATTTATTTAATCAGAGAAGGACAAACATTATATGGTCTCATTCATTTGGGGAATATAAATAATAGTGAAAGGGAATAGAGGAGAGAAGAAATGGGTAGGAAATATCAGAAAGGGAGGCAGAACATGGAAGACTCCTAACTCTGGGAAACGAACTAGGGATGGTGGAAGGGGAGGAGGGCGGGGGTGGGGTGGGGGTGACTGGGTGGCGGGCACTGAGGGGGGCACTTGATGGGATGAGCACTGGGTGTTATTCTGTATGTTGGCAAATTGAACACCAATAAAAAAATAAATTTATCATTAAAAAATAAATAAAAAAATAAAACATTTCAAAAGCGCTCTAAAAAAATATTTATTTATTCATGAGAGACAGAGAGAAAGAGAGAGAGGTAGACACAGGCAGAGGGAGAAGCAGGCTCCGTGCAGGAAGCCCGACCTGGGACTTGATCCGGGACTCCAGAATCATGCCCTGGGCCAAAGGCAGGTACTAGACTGCTGAGCCACCAGGGATACCCCTCTGTCCTCTATTTCTATGTGAATGTGAGGTGCCCTAGGACTCAGTCTTTGGCTTTCTTTCCTTCTTTCCACTCTTTGGATGGTTTCATCTAATCCATGGTTTTAATAGTATGTAAATGCCAAAGAACCCCAATCTTATGGCTCTAGCCCTGACAATGCCTGTGTTTTTCACATTTGTATATGCAATTACTCACATTTCCACAAAGACATTTAATAGACATCTCAAATTTATTCTCTCAAACTGCCATTTCCAGGAAATGGCAGGAAAACTGAGAATCACCCCTAATTCCTCTCTTTCTTAAACTCTATCATATCCCCTCCCCACATCCAATCTCTCAACAAATCACCTTAGTTCTGTCTTCAACTTATATCTCTATTCAACTTAATCTCTGTCCACTTCAACCTCCAAGTTGTCATAATCACTCCCCTAGACTATTACAGTGGTCTTGCTGCTTCCACTCCTGCCTGCTTACAATGCATTCTGCATACAGCAGCCATAATTTAAAAAAGAGAAGAAAAGAAAAAAGTAAAAAAACAAAAAACACCCCAGATCATATCATTGTCCTGTTTTAAGTCCATTCATATTTCTCATTGCATGGGGGATGAATTCAGACCAAACTTAACATGACTGATACTGCCCCACATGAACTAGCTACTTGTCCACTTCTCCAACAGCCTGCCACCTCCATCTCTTACTCCGCTCCAGCACTTCTGGCCTCCTTGTTGCCCATAACATGTCCTGCCCTTTTTTCCCACAGGGCTTTTGGATTTGTTCTTTTTGCAACATTTACCCCCTATCTTCATATACCTGGCTCTTTTTAATCCATCGCACTAATGTTATTTCTTCAGAGATTTGCTCCTTTTCTTTATCCCTGTCACTCTTGGTCAAAACATTTTATTTGCTTGGAAATACCATTTTTTAAAGTGATTTTCATTTGTAGGCATGTTCTGTGTCTTTTACAGACAGAACCTAAGCTCCCTGAGGACAGAAACATTGTCTGTCTCCTTCAGTATTGATTGCTGATCTGGTAAAGTGCCTGGTACCCAATAAGTATTTGTTGGATGGAGTAATTCATTCAAAGGCTATTTTTAGAACCCCTACTATGTGCCACATATTGTTCTAAGTTCAGACATCTCCCCTCAGAAACTTAGTATCTTAGTGGGAGAGATGGGCGATGATCAAGACAAGTAAATCAAGTAAAAATACAGTATGTTTAAAGGTGGTAAGTGCTATGGAAGGAGAGTTTCTGATGTAAACTTAGGATATTCTCACCTCTTTTTCCCTTTACAGTGGAAAAAAACACTTGCTTTGCTGACACTTGAAATCCTGGCTTCTTGAGATGAACCATGAAATTGTGAGTGGTTTAACCTCTTTGAGGTTTAGCTCTGTTATCTGTAAAATAGAGTAATACTCACCTCACAAGGCAATATAAAGCACATATTATCTCATCCTTCCCAGCCACCCACCCTCACCCTATTATTCCAAGGGGAGGAATTAGCATGTTCTCCCTCTCTGCATCCAGTATTAGCATGTTCTCCCTCTCTGCATCCCTAAAATGCTTAAAAAAAAAAAAAAATCAACCCAACCCTTTTGCAAATACTCAACACATCCTTACAAATAAATATATGAACAAACAAGTGTATAGGTGATTTCACAGCAAACAATCAAAGCTACTTTTATTCAGAAACAATGCTTTTTTAAAGACAGCAGGAAATCCTTACCTTTCTTTATTAATTTTCCCTTTTTCTCATTTCTTATTCCATTTTTATAGGCCCCTATTCGTAAAGAAGAAAGGATCTATCCATTTAGTCTTTCTTACTATATACAGAAGTAAAACTAAGCAGGTAATTATTTCATAGGAGGATAAAACATTTATTTAAATGGAAACACTAATCTTTATTTTCATCATGCTGAAGTGTGTAGGTACAAACAATTTCCAATAAAACACTATATAATAAGCAAAAAATAAGTTAATACGTCGTAAACTTACATACAGCTTCATTGATTAACAGGTTTAGGAACAAACAAGCCATCTTACAACTTTGGAGCTACATTTAGTAAAAAAACTGCAAACACTCAAACCTTATCAACCCCAAGTAAGACACTAAGGAGCTATCCAAGACTTCTTCAAATCAATGACACAAATACGGTTTTATTTTTTGGTTACAGTCCCCTGCTGTGCACAAGACCATTGGAATGCTGTCACAATTACACATTTTAAAACGGCACAAAGCAAAGCAAGGAGATGACATGCCAGCCTTACAGAAGCTGTCTTGAAAGTGCAAACTCTGCATTTTCTCTTCCTGAACCACTAGGAGAAGAACGGGGACCTCGCACGACACGGCAGGGTCGGGAGCATGCTTTCTCTACCACTGGTGGGACACTGAACTCGAACCACGTCTCCATGCCTTGGAAGATACCTCCGGTTTTAAACAGTGAGCAGGCTTCGACTAAATATAGTGCAAATCAAATACGGCGAGCCAGACGACAGACCAGAGCCCGCCCCAGGTCCCCCTGCTGATCCTCCGCCCGGGGACAGGTCGGCGCGGCGCCCGGAGCCGACCCCCTCCTCCTCCTCAGGTCTTGATGTGGAGGGCGGTGCGGCGGAGCGAGCGCAGGGCGACCACGCAGCAGCCCCGGAGCAGGGCCCCGATGTTGTAGACGGGATCCGTGCCCCCCCTCTGAGTACTGAAAGCCCACAGAACGGTGGGGACCACGGGGGCAGCCACGGCCAGGAGATCCACCAGGAAACTGCGGCTCCAGTACTGCCCCCCCGCGGGCCCGCGCGCAGCCAGCGGGAGCGCGCCGCCGCCGTCCCACCCCGCCGCCGCCTCCGCCTCCGCCGCCGCCGCCTCCGCCTCCGCCGCGGCCGGGCCCGCGAAGTCCAGCTCCCTCATGAGGCGGTGCGCAGGCGCTTCCAGACCCACCGTGGCCTCCTCGTCGTCGTCGTACGGGGTCTCCACGGGAGACAAAAGGATGGCCGAGTTGGGATTTCTCGGCGTCAGGTCCACCATGAACGCGGAGATGGACTCGGGGAAGCTTGCGGGCGAGTCCGCCCCCGACTCGTCCGGAGACTCGGGGCTCGAGGGCCAGGGGTCCTGCAGCCGCAGCACCTGCTGGATGAGCTCGGACACCGCAGGGCCGTAGGGCACCACGTCGGTCTGCACGGCCTGCTCGGCCACCGCGCTGCCCTCCTCCTGCGGCCCTGCCCTGGGCACCATCGCCAGGACCTCGGCCCCGGCCCCGGGGGCCGAGCGAAGCAGCTCCAAGTCGTCGGCCCGGGGGGCGGCGGCGGCCACCCCATCGAACAGATCGGTGCCCCGGGCCATCGCCTCGCCCAGCAGCAGCTCGCCGTCGGCCCCCGCCTCCGGGCCCTGCTCTTCCAGGGCCAGCGCCTCCGCCATCTGGCCCAACGGGGTGCTGGGGCGGAGGCTCTTCTCTGGAGAGTCGCAGGGGAAATCCAGACACAGCTCGTCCCTCAGAGAGCCGCTGTGCGCCATCTCCATGCTCTGCAGTAGAGACTCCAACTTCTTGTTTTGGATGTTTATGTCCACGAAATACTTCTGAATGCCTTTGTCTTTATCGGCCAAGCTGCTCCGCATGGTTTCGATGACCTGTCTGAGCTGTTTGATTTCTTTCCTGGCTTCCTTCAGGGCCAGCTGGGCCTCCACGCGGTGGCACTCTTCCTCGATCCAGTCCTCCCTCATGCGGGCCAGCTGGGACTTGAGCTCAGCGATCTCGCTTTCCCTGTGGGGAGAGGACAGGCTGGCTGAGTGAGGGACCCAGGGAGAGGACAAGCTGGCTGAGTGAGGGAGCTGGGAGGGGACAAGCTGGCTGAGTGAGGGAGCTGGGGAGAGGACAGGCTGGCTGAGTGAGGGACCCAGGAAGAGGACAAGCTGGCTGAGTGAGGGAGCTGGGAGGGGACAAGCTGGCTGAGTGAGGGAGCTGGGGAGAGGACAGGCTGGCTGAGTGAGGGAGCTGGGGAGAGGACAGGCTGGCTGAGTGAGGGACCCAGGAAGAGGACAAGCTGGCTGAGTGAGGGACCCAGGGAGGGGACAGGCTGGCTGAGTGAGGGAGCTGGGGAGAGGACAGGCTGGCTGAGTGAGGGACCCAGGGAGGGGACAAGCTGGCTGAGTGAGGGACCCAGGGAGGGGACAAGCTGGCTGAGTGAGGGAGCTGGGGAGAGGACAGGCTGGCTGAGTGAGGGACCCAGGAAGAGGACAGGCTGAGTGAGGGAGCCACGGAGAGGGCCGGCTGGCTGAGTGAGGGACCCGGGGAGGGGACAAGTTGGCTGAGTGAGGGACCCAGGGAGGGGACAGGCTGGCTGAACTAAGGGAGCCAGCAGCTCTTAGCCCGCCCCCCCCCACCTCCAGTTCTGACCCGCTGCAGAGAGCCGGTGCTACTCTCCTTCAAATGCAGAGGTTAAGTGGGTTTTCAATTTTTCTCTCACAAGTATTAGCCAGGAACTGCCCCCCCACAATTGTAAAATAGCAAAAATGATAATAACTAGAATCAGAATAAAAAATGAGGTGGCTGTTTGTCTTTTTCTTCCTGGGTGCTGTCAGGCGGTGCAATAAATATAACATTATCCTCCCTTCAGTACTTAATATTTGAAATTTTGCTATGAGAATGCTTTAGAATTTCTTTGCCTGCTTTTGCGTCCATAGCCTACCCTTTCCTACATCTACACATTGTGGAAGGAAAGTCCATTTCACTTTTTTTTTTTCCATTTCACTTTTAAAGGTTACTACCTATCAAAAGAGGAAGGCACATTGGTTAAGTTTTAGCCCTGCAGCATTGTTCTGATCATATTCTAATAATCATTTGAAAAAAATTTAAGCTGTAACAACATGCTGCATGTTGCAAGGACTTTTTTTTAATAAAGACTTTATTTATTTATTCGTGAGAGACACACAAAGAGAGGCAGAGACATAGGCAGAGGGAGAAGCAGGTTCCCTGAAGGGAGCCCAATGCGGGACTCCAGCCCAGGACCTCGGGATCATGTCCTGAGCCAAAGGCAGCTGCTGAACCACTGAGCCACCCAGGTGCCCTGCAAAGACTTTCTGAAGAGTTGATTAGTCTGTCTCCTCTTAGGGTAAGATGACCCTGGAACCATCATCCTACACTGAAGGAAATCCATCTAAAAAATAGATGGATTTTTTTTTTTTTGATACTTCATGGGACCTTATTTTAAGATCTTTGTCAAAAAATTCTTCCTAACATATCATTTCTTCATAATCAATATAAATACAAGTTTTCATATTATCAGTAGATATGAAGGCCAGGCAGTCAGGTTCCTGGTATATTCGAAGGAATGCTAGTTTTGCTTTTCTAAGTTTAGACCTGACTACTCTTCAGTTTCATTGTCGTATGCTTCCCTGCCATGACTGCTCACACCCTTCCATCGGTTCCTTAAATCATAAACAAAGACTTTCAGAAAGTAAGATCTGACTCATGCTACCCTGGTCAGAGCTCTGTCTATTCCCAAAATGTTCCAGGGAAAAATCATTAAGCAGAAAATCTGGCCCACCCCAAGATGTCAAAGGTCTTTTCTCTCTGAGATAAGATCTCTTTAAGCATGGGCTGTTTTTTGGTTTCTGTTTTTTACCTTAACACTTAGCCAAGAATAATGAACCTCTTCCTCCAGCACAGAAATAGCCTGCAGGAATCACAATACACAGGGCCATCCACGCTCTCAGAGAGATAAACAGGGCTTAATAGGGGCCCCTGTGTGCGACCCTTTCTGCTGGAAGTATGGGATTGTTCCTGCAAGTGTTCCTGCCATTTAAAAATAGCAACGCACACACCCAATGTTTCTGTACACGCCCAGAAAAGGCAGGGGGTACCCTCTCAGGTGAATTCCTGAAACAGCCAAATCACACAGGAATATGAAATGGCTCTTCTGAAAGACTGGTTTAAGGAATTTGGCAAAAATGAAATACTTTTTCTTCTTTTCTATTTTTCAATAGTGTAGGTTTGTATTTCATTTTATGGAAAAAGAAACCGTCCTTAATCAGGGTGAAAGGAATGCAGATTCACCTTTCCTGAAGGCGGCGCTCAGATTCCTTCAGCTTGGTCTTGAGGTGCCTCACTGTGACCTCTTTCTGCTGCAGAGGAGTCAAATATTGCTCTGGATTTGGGGGCTTGACACCATGATTTTCACCACAGGACATGTACCTTCCAGACCGCCTGAAACAATCCAAGCAATGAACTGTTACTTTTTCTGTAAAAAGAAAAGTTAAGGCACAGCTAATGGCTTGAGAAGGAGCGACAGCTGTGTATTGGGGTCTTAAGCCTCAATATTGTGCGCTTCACTTGGGAAGGGGGGCTGTGACACACCGGCCACTCTTAGGGCTGCTCATTACTTGGGAGACTTCAGGAAGGCTGTTTGTGGAGAGAGTGGAGATAGTGGAGAGGGAGGATTTTCTATGGCTTACGAATGACCTCATGCAGAATAATGCACAATTGTGCACAGGCTTGCCTGTGGGTGCATAGTAACACACTATTATATTAGGGGACAATAAGTGGGGCAGGCGGGAAGGCAGGATGGGAGTGAGATGTCCCGACTTTCCACACAGTGTGCCACTACCCGAACACCTTGATTGCTAGGAGTTGGATTCAAATTGTTCTGAGATCAATCCCTGGTGTGAGTGTGCCAATTCGGTGGAACGTTTCCTTCTTCCAAAGGGAAAGGGCTACTCCACCGTCACCAGAGTGTGTTTTGTAAACGAAGTGCCCAGTGTTCTATAAAACTTCCTGAGCTGGAATGCCGGCCCCTCTCAGGCCTGGCCAAGTGTGGGGCATCCCTGCTGTAAGAGAGCTGACTAACGAACGAGAACGGCCACCCAGGAGGAAGAAGACTGAGGGTAGAGGGCTGGCAGCTTCCTCCCCGACTCTGGAACCCGTCCAGGCCGCTGCAGTCACCCTGCTCCCCCTGAGCCTACACTCTGTCCAAGACGGCCTGTGTCCAGCTCCCAACCTTCTAGTCCTCCTGTTGGGTCCTTTTGGGCATGCAGGTCCTTTTTCCTACAACCTCCTGGCCCCCAAGGACTACTTAATTCCTTGCCCGACCTTCAGATTTCATTTCAAGGTCATTTCCTCAGGGAGGCCTCCTCTGGTCCCTCCAGACTGAGCTGGATCCCCTCCCAACTGCTTACTGCACGTACAACAACAACCGGGACCTGCAGAATCACCTTCAACGTTGCCATGAGATGAGCCAAGTGTTTGGTACCCCCCTGCGGGAAGCCCGGGGGCCCTCTCCGAGGCTCACTGCCCTTCTCAGTGCTTCACACGGTTCCTGGCACCACGTGGCCCCAGTACATCGCTGATGTCTGACTCCTTCCCGGCCCGGGGAGGGGGGAGGTCTAGGACCCCCAGTGCCCTGTGCCAGCCCCCCTCGGGCTGCTGAGCCTCGGCCGGCGGCTGGCTGAGCGCGGGAAGGGGAAGGCCGGGACGAGGCCGAGGCTCCAGGGCGGCCTCACCTTTCTTCCCCCCCAGGTTCCCCACGAGCGAAGGCGCGCACCTGGGGCGGGAGCCGCAGGCGCCGGGCACTCACCTCAGGACCGGGCTGCCGTCACTCCCCTTGTAGGAGCCCGAGTTGCTGCTACTTGGGGAAGACGGCGCGTAGCCGGGATGGATGTTCACGGGGCTCAGCTGACTCCTGCACAGCATGGACAGGAAGTCCTTCTCCCGCGGGGAGGGCGGGCTGCTGGCGGCCTTGTAGGACGAGGCTCCATTACTCCGCCCGTGGGGACCTCGGCTGGGAGAAGAGCGGAGAACGGCCGTGCTGGGTGCTGCTGGGTGCGGGCCTCGGCCACCACCCGCAGCCAGCCCGGAGCCCGCCCCGGCCGTGGGGCTGAGCCTGGGGCTGGGCCGTGGGGCTGGGCCGTGGGGCTGGGCCGTGGGGCTGAGCCTGGGGCTGGGCCGTGGGGCTGGGCCGTGGGGCTGAGCCTGGGGCTGGGCCGTGGGGCTGGGCCGTGGGGCTGGGCCGTGGGGCTGAGCCTGGGGCTGGGCCGTGGGGCTGGGCCGTGGGGCTGAGCCTGGGGCTGGGCCGTGGGGCTGGGCCGTGGGGCTGGGCCGTGGGGCTGAGCCTGGGGCTGAGCGTGGGGCTGAGCCGGCGCCGCCACCACAGGTGCCCGGGCCGCGGGGGCCTTCTCCCCGCCTGCCCCGGAGCTCTCTCCTCCCGCCCCAGGCACCAAGCACCAAGCACCAAGCACCAAGCACCGGCGGCCTCGCCCTCAGCCCTCCGCCCTCCTCGCAAATACTTTCTGGCCCTAAAGCTCGTTTCTGAATTAATCCCCAACGCCTGACAGGAGCACAAACCGCGGGAAATACCGATCTGGTTGAGGTTCACTCTGGAGGCGGCTGGAAGATGTGGTTGGTTGTTCCAGTCCACCTGCTTCCGCTTAAAAGCGTTCAGGTGTGGTTCACGTTGGGGTAAGAAAATTAGGGAGGTTCGTCTGGAGAATGAGGAGAAGGGGGGCTCCCACAGAGGAGGAGGAGGGGTGAACGGAGCCCATATGAACCGATCAAGCCTGTAGCTTTTACGGCCCATTTGCTTTCCGCTGCCAGTGATCTAACAGAACCTTCAGCATGTAACTGCTGAAATGTCACAGGCCTCCCGCGGCTCGCGGCCTGCTTTCTTGCCCCCTCAGCCAGGAGGCTGCCCCGGGCTCTGCGCATCACCCATCGCGTCCTCAAAGCCATTCAAGGGCTCCTACCTCACGAGGTCTGATCCAACCTCCCCATCCAACCTACCCTCTCGCACTCCTCACTCCTCCCTCCTCCCTCCATAATCCGGAATTACAAACAACTTACAGTTTCCTGATGACCCATGCTCCCCATCACTTTTATGTTTTTGAATTTATCATTTTCCCTGCCTAGAATGTCCTCTTGCTCCCTACCCTCTGCCTTGGGATTTTTCCAACTTCCAGACGGGTGGGAACACTCCAAGCAGCCTTCTCTGGACTCCTCCTTCCCTAGGCTTGTGTACACGTGGCTCCTCGGTGGTCCCTAGTACTCTTTGCAAACATCCAGCCTGGGATTCATCACATGGCATCACAACTACACAGTTGTGTGTCCTTCCCGCTAGACTAGGGCAGTCTGAGGGCAGGATCACAGTCTGTTCTTTTATATCCCCGCTACTTCCTGGCACATGCTAGGTGTTCCCCAAATGACGGCTAAATGAATAAACTGGGTTTGAGCCTTGGCACTGCCACTTATTAGGAGCTTAGGCAATGAATCTACTGAATACCTGGGGATCTCTAATAACTTTTCTTGCCTTCCTCAGAGTTGATGGGAAAATCGAATCAAAGAATGCATGTGAGTGCATCTGATAAGATGTTAGAGGCAATGCAGCTGTAGGATATTATTACAGGATAAACTTGTTTGGACTTCCCTATTAATCTAGTTCCAGAAACTTGACACCCACTATGTAAGGAAGCATCCTGAGAATGTTGAAATTACTTAGATAGGATAACAGTTCAGTGTTGGGAATATTTCTTGATGACATTACAAGAAAATGAAAAAGAACAAGGTATCTTTCATACAGAAGTACTGCTTTCTGACAATCCCCTCTTTGCAATTTTGATTACAGTTGTATCCAACGGACACATGTCAATGAGAAACGCATGTAAATGTGAGTGTGCGTGTGGGCAGACTTGGCTCCAAAACCACACTTACTTAAAATCAAATGTAACTTCAACTAGCTGTCAACCCAGTAAATCACATATAAATGAAACATCATCCGATTCTGAAGTTAAAAAGTTCTTTCCTTTTGAAATCATCCAGATAGACTCTGCCTCCTTTTCATGAGAAGGGGACACTTTATATGGAACAGATGGGCAGATGGCTTTGTGACAAACCAACTTCAGCAACCCAGTGGTGCTGAGCTGAGCAGCAGAATACATGGACTCTGGCTTGGATCTGCTTCTCCACACTTCACTTCTGAGTCCACTCCAACCGGCCTGACATTTCTGAATGTGACAATGAGAAACGTGCAGGATTAACCTCTCCAAGTCAGGAGAGAAAGGAAAGAGCAAGCCTTCGTTTTGACCGGGGGAGTCCTCTTCCAAGTCGACCTTCACTAATGACCTTCTGAGATCCTGGGCCTCTTCCAGATGTTTTATGAGCACAGTTTTACTTAATTTTGACCCTCATGCTATAAAGCTGGTACAACGATTACCACTCATTTACATTACATGAAGTACATGAAGTATTCAGTTACATGAAGCAACTAAGGGTAATGTGGCCCAAGAACACACAGCTGAACTAAGATTTAAAAACAGATTTTTTTTTTGACTCTACAGAAATATCTCCTTCTTACTTTACACAGATAGAATATATCTTTTGGAGCTTGTAAACAGGTATGTTATATACTGGCTATGCATGTGGTTATGACCTGAAGAATTCACCACCAACCTTTATTGTGCTGCAGTCACTAAGATACAAATTAAACTCGATGAGAATTTTTAAGAACACATCTGCTATACTGATATATTTCAGGAAATGAATTGTTAGACTGCAAGAGCTGACTAGCTGCCTTTTTTTTTTTTTTTTAATTCATGAGAGACACAGAGAGAGAGGATGAGACACAGGCAGAGGGAGAAGCAGGCTCCTCAAGGGGACAAGGGGAGCCTGATGCAGGACTCCATCATCATGGGACCATGGGACCACGCCCTGAACTGAAGGCGGACGCTCAACCACTGAGCCACCCAGCCGTCCCAAGAGCTGACTTTTATTTTATTTTATTTTTTTAAATTTTTATTTATTTATGATAGTCACAGAGAGAGAAAGAGAGAGAGGCAGAGACACAGGCAGAGGGAGAAGCAGGCTCCATGCACCGGGAGCCCGATGTGGGATTCGATCCCGGGTCTCCAGGATTGCGCCCTGGGCCAAAGGCAGGCGCCAAACCGCTGCGCCACCCAGGGATCCCCAAGAGCTGACTTTTAAAAAAGAAACTACATGCTTAAAAATAATCAATGAATTAGTTTAGTTCCGTTCAACTGCTAACACATATGGGTACAAAGTCATTGCAAAACATTTTCAAGGAGAGGCCAGGGTTCCATGTTTGCCATAGCTGTGAGAAGCAAACCCTATGCTACCTTCTTCAGCTTACCCCAAATGCCTTGGTGTGGTGGGCAAGAAGACTGAAGTCCACAAAGGGGCAGAATTCTGCTGACCCTACCCCTTCCTGCACACCTGAATACAGCAGATGGAAATGGAGAGAAAGGGAAGAGAACCTCACAAGGGGCCCACATTAATTTCTATCCCCCAATGTTGTCCTTTACTTCAAGGCAACATTACTACCATCACTGTCATCATGATGATCACTGTTAGGGCTGCATTATGTCGTTCCCCCCACCCCCGCCAAAATTCATAATGTTAAAAAGCCCTAACCCCTAGTACCTAAGAATGTGACTGTATTTGGAAACATGGCTTTAAAAAAAGGTAATTAAATCTAATTAAATCCTAATCCAACTTGACTAATGTCCTTATAAGAAGAGGAAATGGATGCAGGCACACATAAAAATTCTGTTGAAGAAGCAGAGACAAGAGGGCCATCTCTAAGCCAAGGAGAGAGGCTTTTGCAGACGCCAATCATGCTGACACCTTGATCTTGGACTTCTGGCATTCAGAATTGTGAGAAGGTCAATTCCCATTATGTGAGACCCCCAGTCTATGATATATTTTGTGACAGCAGCCTGAGAAAACTAATGTGATCATCATCACAATCATCATCTTCATCATCATGTCCATCAGTATTATTTTTATCACTACTGAGGAAAATATCCATTTATGACCCTTTTACTAAATTCTGGGCACTATGGATTAGCTCATTTAATTCAATGAGGTAGATGCCACTATTATCCCATTTTCCAGAACAGTAAAGCTCAGGGCCCTGGCTCATGTACATAATTAATAAGGGAGGCTAAACGCAAGCCCATGTTTCTCTGGCTCCAAATTCCAAACATTTTCTTTTTTTTTTCCTTTTCACTTCTATCTGCCCTTGGTCAGATTAGGATTTTAGTTTAAGAAAGAGAATTCCTCAGGGGTGCCTGGATGGCACACTCAGTTAAGTGTCCAGCTCTTGGTTTTGGCTCAGGTCATGATCCCAGGGTTATGGGATGGAGCCCACAGATTGGGCTCTGTGTTCGGCCTGGAGTCTGCTTAAGGCTCTCCCTCTTCCTCAGCCCTTCCTCTGCCCTCCCCCCAAAATAAATAAATAAAGCTTTTAAAAAAAGAGATTTCCTCAGAGATGTTAACAGAGTTGGCCTTCTGTAAGAAGAGATCATTGAAACTTTAGTTTTAAGATCCCATCAAAAATATCCTCACCAACACCACCTGCCACTTATTTCTCCCACCCCTTCACCAAATGTTCCTGCTCGCCTTCTTCCCAGGAGCTGATTCTCCACAGAGAATATTCATTTATTGTAGGAGAAGCAAGCCATTTAAAAGGATGATAAGCTTTATAAACTTTGGCCCGGATACCTGGCACATCTAGAGGAGTCGTCCTCAGTGCATGGTCCCACAGAACACAAAAGTTATGTGAAGTGCTCGAGATATCCCATCACATAAATCTACTGACTGTGCTCTATGCCTGGGTCAGATATAAAAAAAAAAAAGTGAGGCTAATAGAACATTGCCAATTCCAATTTTCCATCTATTAAGCATGTATCTGATTTGCACATAATTCTATTTAGCTATTTTATGTTTACTATATCAATTTTTAGTCATTTGGAGAAACCACAGATTCCAAACTAGACAATTTTCTCTAAATCACTCTGTATTGTTGACATTACCTTGGAATTTAACCACAAACACAAGGTCTTTTGAAGTGCTTAATACAATCAGCTTCTTCGACAGGCCATTTCTTTTTTCTTTTGCTCTCTGTTCTTTGATACCTTGTACCACAGGTATGTGCTAGTTTTCTTGAATGGGTTAGATAAATGGTTTATTCTCAGAGCAAGCCACATCTGATTTATACAGAAAATGTTTATATTCATATTATGTGATCCCAGAGGTATTTTATTTCCAAATAGATTGTGTTTGGGAATAGAACAATTGGGCTTTTTCATTGTGGGCTCCACTCTTTTGTTACAGGTTTGTCTGGCTTCAGCTTTGTTTTTAACAATAAAATTGTGCACCAGGGGGTCTCAAGTCCCTTTTTAAACATCAGCTAAATGTTCTGCTCACTGAAGAGAAATGTGAGATACCTGCTTCCTGAATCCTGGGAATGCAAGTTCTTAGAAACTAACCTGTTTTTCTCCATGAAGGGACCTCAAGAATTATGTGGTCCAACCCTCCTTTTACAAATGTGGACACTGTGGCCCAGAAAAGTCAAGTGATTTGCTCAAAGTCTAAAGACAAATCATCCCCAGATGTCTTGTTCCTCATTCCATTGAATTGCTCGGGTCCCTGGCTCAGAGGTCTCCTGGAACCAGCCTATCCAAAACATACCATCCATCTCATTACTCTCAATATTCTTTACCTGTATGTTTTTTAAAAATAATTATATTATTATGTATTTATTGTCCTTTTTTTATCTTACTAGAATGAATATAATTTCCATAAAGGTTTGTTTACTGCCCTATCACCAGAACCCGCCTCATAGTAGATGCTCAATAAATACTTGAACAAATAAAATCATGCATAGTAGGAGAGAATCCTGGGGCTTAGAATCTTTCCCACCACATGTGAATGGTGGCTCAGGAGTTCCCCACACTTCCCCAACCCAAATAGTATCTATGGTGAACATTTGTTGATGCCTGCTAGGCTCTATGCACTGACCCACACTTCATGTCTACTAACTAATCCGAACAGTGAACCCTACAAAGTAGGTATGATTACAGCCCTATTTTACAGATGAGGAAACTGAGGCACAGAGAAGTTAAGCAACTTGCTCAGGGCCGCACAGCCTGCAGGTGATGGAGCCGACATTCCCACCAAGGCAACCTGGCTCCAGAGTCCATATAAGTAGCTAGTCTGCTCTAATGCCTCTTGGTGGTGGCCAGTCACGTCTGTGAACTTTATTCTTTTCTCACCCCTTCCCCCAGTGAGTGCTGGGAGTAGTCTGAGCTCACTATGTCTCTTTCATGAGGGTAATAGGTAAGCTCAGCTAGAGGAAAGAAATGGTGAAGTCAGAGGCTTCCCAGCTAAGAGATGACAGATTCACGGAGGGGAGGCAGGTAGGAAGTGGAAACTACTACGTTAACACCAGGTGAGTTCACAGGTGAGTGAGGGAAGGGGAGGAGAGAGAAGGGTGAGTGGACACACAGCCAAGGGCTGGCTGAGGGATGGCCACGGAGAGACACACGCCGCTCCAGCCCTGTGACCACAGCTGCTAAGACAGTGAAAGGTTCTAATTCCAAATCATTATAAAACACAAAAACTGTTCACTGAGTAATAACTAAATATGAACTGACAGCCATCCAAGTGGCTCCACAGAAACCTAAGGTACAGGCAAGTCACCTGTGCAGTGTCTTCACAATTAGAGAGCAGGAAACAGTGCCTACTTGCGTGAGAAGGAGGACCGCTTGCTTCCCGCCGCAGACATGTGGACCTCAGGAGCCGAAATGCTGCCCGTGCTGCTCGAGGAGCTAAAATCGGCTTCACTACCTGCAAAGCAACGGCGGGGAGAGAGAGGCATGAAGGAAAGGAACCTGGGAACACGGGCCCCTCCTGCCTCTCCTCGGGGCTCCCTGCGAGGGCACACTAGCTCAGCAAGTGGCAGGATTCCGGAGCTGCCCGGCTCTCGGCCTTTTCCTCAAAGCAAACAAGAGAAGGTGCGAGAACAAGAACGGGGACATCGTTTCATAAACACCGCTGAGCAGCACAGTGAGCTGGTTTCCTACAGGCCGACCTCCCAGCAGACAATCGGCGGTGACCCGAGGTGGGGGCCTCTTCCTGCGCCCCGGGGCACTCCCTGGACAACAGGGACGCGCTGGCCCGAACGTTAGGCGGAATGGAAAGCATACTTGTGGGTCCCAGAGTACTTTTTCCAGGGGAGTTTATCTTTGGGCTTTTTGCAGTCAGCTAGCCATACTCGAATCCGTCACGTTAGCGTCTGGAGATAATCAACCAGTTAGCAGCAGCTGGGAAGAAAGCCTGGGCTCCAGATAACGGCCTGAACCGGCGCTATCTGATCAGTGACTCTCTGGCTGCAGCTGCTGTTTTTCTTTTTTTCTCTTTTTTTTTCTTTTTAAATATTTTCTTCACTTGGGAGAGAGTGTGAAAAGGAGAGTACAAGCAGGGCGAGCGGCAGAGGGAGAGGGAGGAGCAGACTCCCTGCTGAGCAGGGAGCGGAGCTCGATCCCAGGGTCCTGGGATCATGACCTGAACTGAAGGCAGACACTTAACCGACTGAGCCACTCAGGGACCCCAGCTGCTGTTTTTCTATTGAGAACACGACCGTGACAAAAAGCAGGAACTGAACATTTCCAAACAGGATGAAGAAAGTTTACAGCAACAGTGATAGAAACTGTGAATTATGCTGTGAGGTGAATATTTTAGTTGGGGGCGGGGTGGGGGGGTGGTAATGGTGGGGTGGTTTGTGCAGGGAGATTGTTCATTAGTTTACAAAAATCACATCAGACTACAGATCTGTATGTAATTAGAAACATGCTCTGTGGCCAAATAATATAAATTCATTTTTTAAAAGATTTTATTTATTCATGAGAGACACAGAGAGAGAGGCAGAGACACAGACAGAGGGAGAAGCAGGCTCCCCATGGGGAGCCCAATGAGGGACTCAATCCCAAGACCCCTGGATCACGATCTGAGCCAAAGGCAGATGCTCAACCACTGAGCCACCCAGGTGTACCCATTTCTTTTCTTTTTTTTTTTTTTAAGATTTTATTTATTCATAAGACAGAGAGAGAGAAAAAGAGAGAGAGGCAGAGACAGAGGCTAAGGGAGAAGCAGGCTCCATGCAGAGAGCCTGACGTGCGACTCGTTCCCAGGACTCTGGGATCACAACCTGAGCCAAAGGAAGATGCTCCACCACTGAACCACCCAGATGCCCCAATATAAATTCATTTCTAACAAAAAATTACATAGTTCTGAAATGGTAATGATAGAAAAATTCCACGGGGTGCCTGGGGAAGTGAAGGAGAGTAGAAGAGGCAAAAGAGAACAAGTGGGAAGAAGGAAGAGAGGATTTAAAAAAAGATAAAATTCCATATGCTTTTGGAAAATAAATCTAGGTATATAATTGTATTTGACCTTATCTGTCAATTCCTACCACATGGTTTGTGAGTCTTCTGGTCTAGAACTCAGAGCCAGCTCACATTTCTGGGTTGAAGAAAATATGAATAATCTAAATCCTTTGAGTTTCTAACAAGTAGTGAACAATAATGATCATCACATTAGTAACTATTTATTGAGGGCCTTGTAGGCACTAGGCCCTCTAGGACATGTTTTCTATTCTTTGTTAATCTTGACAACTCTGTAAGGCAGACATTAATCTCCCTATTCTACTACTGAAGAAATCAAAACTGATTTGTCCAAGGCCTGTGGGGGATAAATCCTGGCCAGGATCAAGTCCCCACGCCACTTCTCCATGCCATGCTGCGTCCTCTGGAAGGCCATGGGAAGAAGAGGGGCACGGGGGAGGTTCCTGGGTAAGCTATATACTACCATCTCCCTAACTGCCAAGATGATCTATTGGTACAAGGTGTAGCCAGACTGGCCCACCGCTGAACAGATCCTCTCACTGAGGGGTTGTAGCAGTTTTTGCTAGAAGGGAAGGCAACAGGGAGGCAGAAAAAGAAAAATCCCTTCCCCAGCTCCCAGGTCCTCTCAGGAAGTTCAGCCTCTTCTGGGAAAGACACCAAAAATGACCCCTTAACATAGATGACAGCAGCGAATCCTAATTCCCAGCAGAATTCTGGGAGACTCTCTGTCTCTCTCATGAATAAATAAAATCTTTAAAAAAAAAAAAAAGAAAGAAAGAATTCTGGGAGAATGAGGGTGGCAATTTATCAGGCCTGGGACTGGTGATTCCTTCCGGATTTCAGAGACTTTGTCTAATGTTGTTATGAGCTCCCCAACTGTAATTAGTTGCCTCTGAGTAATGCTCTGGCTAAAGCGTAGTATTTTACTATCTCAAGGACTCACGATTGGTAGTGCTATCCGGCAATATGCTAGTCCTGACAGCCTAATTCCGCCAGCCTCGTCAGCTAGTAAATTATCAGGATGCTTATTAAGTGATAAAAGCAGACAATTTTCAAAAAATAGATGCTGTGGTTGCAGCCACCAGGTTTGAGATATTATTTTCTAACATAAGATTATGATTCTGAAACACCCAATTTTCATTCCTGAAAAGAAACACAAAACCCATCAATTATAACCTAACTGCCTCAATAAAAACAGAAATTCTAAAATAGAAACAGACCAGACAACTGCTGAAAATCCACTTTTTCCTCAGGATGCCTTTGATCTGTGCTAATTACTCTGAACTGAAGGGACAAGTTTGTCCCACACTTTATTGCTATTGGAACTCAATATATTGACTCTTGTGTATTGGTAGGGCCCAAGTTTCTTCCTATACTCCTCTAACTTAACCTTCTGCACTCTGAAGGACGTTAGAAGACTCATTCAGGAGACCTGGCGGTTACACTCACTACTGAGTGACAGCGTAGAGAAAAATGTCTATGCTACTTATGCCATTTCACTTTGCTATGTTTTAAAAAATATTTCTAGTTTGGTTAATGCAAATGTAAAGTCAATTCACCCTTTTTATGGGATACACAGATAGATCAATTTTACTACATCACCTGATATACATATTCTTCCCATTTACTAACAAGGTAACTAAGAGAATGACTGGAGACCTGAAAGCTCCCCATTTATCGAAAAGACTCAAGGATCAGAGGCTCTCTCTATTCGTTTCCTTTAAACAGCATGTGTAACTAGGTTATTGTTGCGAGGGCTGTAGGTCAATGCTCATCTGTATTATTCAGACCATACAAAGAGAATACCTAACACAGGCCCTGAGTCAGAGACCCCCAGTTCAAATCCCACCACTACCACTCACTAGATGGGGGACTTGAGGCAAGTTATTTCACCTTTCTGTGCTTCAGTTTCTAAATCTGCTACATGGAGATGATAATCATGGATTCTGCCTCTTAAGGTTATTGTAAGCAAAGAACGTGAGCATGTGTATATATACAAATACACGTGCACACACATATATAAAGCGCCTGATTCCCTGTAAAGTCACAATAAATGTTAGCCATTCTTCTTCTTCTGCAGGGGTTAAAAAGACAACTTTTTTACACATTTCCTTTGTAGAAAATTTAGAAAATAGCAACGATCCGTAGGACAAAGTGTAGTCTATTGTCCCATCACCAAAAAGTAATCATAGTTAACCTTTTGATATATAATCACTCAGCATTCTTAGTTAATACATTACTATGTAACCTAATTGCTTTTCTTTAATATGTGAATATCTTCAAAATATACTCCAATTTTTTTAGATATATATATATATATTTTTTTTAAATTAATTTATTTATTTGAGAGAGAGAGACAGCAGGGAAAGGGGCAGAGGGAGACAGAGAGGGAAAACTCAAGAAGACTCTGTGCTGAGTGTGGAACATGAAGCAGGGCTCGATCTGACAACCCTGAGATCATAACGTGAGTGGAAACCAAGAGTCAGACACTTAACCAACTGAGCCACCCAGGGGCCCCTACATTCAGTTTTATTCATTTATTTATTTTTAAAGATTTTATTTATTTAAGAGAGAGAGAGAGAATGCAATCATGCAAGCAGGGGAAGCAGAGGGAGAGTAAGAAGCACAGTCACCGCTGAGCAGGGAGCCTAATGTGGGGCTCCATCCTATAACCTGAGCTGAAGGAAGACATTTAACCAACTGAGCCACACAGGGGCACCTACATTTTGTTTTATTAAATAAAAGAATATATACGCTATGTCTAATTTTTCTATCATTACATAGTAATACTCTGCCAAAAATCATCCTAAGCATATTTATATAATCACTCATTTATTTCTCATGATAGTACAGACCCTTTGAGGTAGGGACACTTATCAGTCCCTGTTACAGATGAGATAGAGAAGTTGAGTGACATGAACAAGAGGTAGAGGCAAAAAAAAAAAAAAGAAAAAGAAAGAAAGAAAAAGAAAAAGAAAGAAAAGAAAGAAAAGAAAAGAAAAGAAAAAAAAAGAAGTGGAGGTAAGACTTGAACCTAGTCTGTCTGACCCCGGGTCCAGACCTTTAAATACAGGCTTAATGTTCAATGGATATCCCTGGGGCATGCAAATTGACATATCTGTCTACTATTCTTTCTTTTTTTTAAAGGTTTTAAAAATTTTTTTGAAGATTTTATTTATTTGAGAAAGAGCAAGCTAGTAGGGGAGGGGGTAGTGGCAGAGGGAGAGGGCCAAGAAGACTGAGCTATGAGCCTGAGATCATGACCTGAGCTGAAGTCAGACTGTGAACCATGTGAGTCACCCAGGTACCCTCCTTGTCTGCTATTCTTTAGAATAAATGAATGAAAGAATTTTTAAGCCAAAGGATATGCTCAATTTCAAGAAATTTAATATATATTGTGTTATATGTATTTTTGAGTGTCATTAGCCCAAAGCAGTTTTTGTG